CTCTCATTATGGCAATATAGCTTCAAAAGCTGCCAGAAATTCAACTACATACGATTGGAATTTTACAAAAGACACACTGCATGTGTGTGCAATCCTGTGAGCTGCTGAGAGCCCTGGTTTGAGAGTTAAATAGGGGTAAATTCAAACCCTCCTTTTGCCATTTAGCCCCTGGGGACCCTGTGCAGATTGCTTCAGTTAATTCCATTTCCTGGGGTCTGTAAAATGATGTTCTCTCTCAGCTTAGGAGGAGGAAGTGGGATAATGCATGCGAAAAACAAGGTACTGTACCTGGGGCATAGAAATTGCTCACCAAAAGCTCACTGCTGCACGGCCTGCCTGGGGGACTCAGACATTGCAGGCTTGAACTCATGCCCCCCAGTGGTCAAGGACTGAAGTAACTGCGACATCCTCAATTCCTGCTAAGCAAGCAAGGCCGTGTGTCCCCGTCCATACTCCAAGAACCATCTCCTTCCCAAAACAATATTCCTTAGAAGAAAGAAGACATGGAAGACAGTGCTTAGAAAAGGTGCAGAGATTCAGGGACACATGGGAACTGGAGTCCAAAGGCCCCTTCCAGAAGGCCCTGACTGATAAAGTCACCTTGGGATCTTCATAAGTTGGTTGGGAAGGGGTAGTATCAGGCTTGCTTTGTCATTCCCAGCCATCTTCCATTCCCTCCTTTCCCTGTGGAAACCAAAGCTGGACCCTGGCCTCCAGGTGTCTGAGACTGTTTATTCTGTCCATTCATCTGGCCTAGGGAAGTTTGGAGACTCTGCTTGTCCCCAAAGGGAAAACAAAAGATATCCTCTCAATGTTCTGGACACAATACTACAGCCTCCATTAGCTTGCAATCTGCATCTGAAATTATTGTATGTGATAACATGAACAAACATTTTGCCACTGTACAACAAGAGCCACCACCTCTCCAGCCTGCAGTGATTTTCCTCTCCTTGTCTGAAGCCCCGCCTGCTGTTAACCTCACTTACAGGGACCAAATTCTATATCAGGAACAAATGACAGGATCCATTGTGGCTAAGTGAAGCCGAAAAATAATTAAGGCAAAAATACTATGCCCATAGAATCTTTGGGGATAACAAGAGGAGGAGCCCAGGGGATGAACTTCAAGAACCACCTCTGAAATGTAGCTGGAGAACCGGCCTGAGGGAGGACTCGCCACTGCTGCATTTGACCATGACTTTACTGCACTTGCTACTGCCACCAGCCAGCACTGATGTCCTGTCTCCTTCAGAACTTCAACCTGGCCTCCAGGAACCCACTGGCACTGCTACCACCAAAGTTGGTCGCTCCTGCCACTATCCCAGTCAGGAAAGATGGACATTCCAAACACTTCCTGCCCATGCACCTTACTCCCAAGTATCTGAATAAAGAAACAGAGGTCATAGGGGCCGGGGATTTACCTCAGTGGTTCTGACACCTGCCTTGCAGGCACAAGGTTCCCAGTTTGATCCCTGATACCAAAAAAACAATAAAGCCTCAGGATTTTTAAAAAAAGAAAGAGAGGTCATAGGCCAGTGTCCTAGCTGCAAGGGAAGTTGGGAAATTGAGTCCTGACTACTAGTCTGGGATAAAAACAGGGATTTCCACAAACATTAAGGAGGACTTTCCAATGATGATGAGCAACTGTGTCTATGTCAGATACCTGCTAGATATTCTAAAGTGAAAAAAAGTGAAATGCAGAACAATGTATTTGGTCTCCTATTACTAGTTTAAGAAGCAAAACTAGTCTGCATGCATAGACCAGCTCTGGGAGGTTCCAGAGGAATAAGTAACTATTATCTCCAGGAAAGGGAACTTTATAATCATGGGTGGGAGGAAGACTTAATTATCACCGTGTCCTCCTTTGCATCTTTTGATTAAAATGGATTGGGGGGTGGGGATAGGAGAAGAGAACCATGTTTCTTGTTTCTCTCTTTCTCCATGGTGGCTCCAACTTGCCTCCAATGAAGGCTTTTTTGCTCCTCTTTGTTCTTCCTCCCTGACTTAGTCCAGAGTCTGTAGACGCATCGGGACACACCCTTTCCGCCCTGGTGAGAAGAGCGTTGGAGAACTTGCCTGGGAGTAGAAAGTAAGAGAAACCATCTCAATGGAAAGGAGAGCATATCTATAATAAGTACATTGCAGTTCTTTGCATTGAGCCAAACAAGTCCTCTACACAGCAAGAACAGCTCCCACTTTGTGTGTCCCAAGGACCCAGAGGAAATAAAATTACATTTTAGGTGACTGTTGCCTATTTTGCTGAGTTGCCAGACTTGAGGCAGTTGATAAACTGAAGACTTCATGACAAAACTTACACTGGGTAGCAGCCTGTTCATTTCTTCCAATAAAACCATCCATTGGTCAGGAAAGAAACTGCACCTTTCTTCTCCTTCAAGCAACTTTCTCATTCTAGCTAAATTATAGGATGAATATTTTAAATTTTCTGAACTTTGAGAGCTCATTTAGTGAAAATGGAACGGTGCTAGAGGAAGAAAGCAGCTTGTGTTTAACAAGTTAAATGTAGCCAGAAATTTATATTTTGTTAGTATATGTTTGCTATATATAATGACTGTATTCATCATGGGGAATTGGCACATATACATGTTGCATCTTTTTATTTATTTATTTATTTTTGGTACCGGGGATCGAACTCGGGATCTTGCGCTTGCGCAGCAGGCGATGGAAACACTGAGCTAAATCCCCGGCCCCATGTTGCATCTTGAACATTTTTACTTCCCTTCCTCTCTCCTCCCTCCTGTCTCTCCCTTTTCCCAGGTCCCCTTTTCATCTCCACAAAGTCTATCTCTTTGTTTCCAATCATCTTTCTCTTATGTCCCTCTTTAGATTTTCTATATTTTGCATCTCTCATATAAGAGAAACTATGAGATATTTAACCTGTTGATTTATTTCAATTAGCATTATGGGCTCGAGGTGTATCCACTGTCTTACAAATGACTCAAATTTATCCTTCTTTATGGCTGAGTAGTACTCCAGTGTGTGTGTGTGTGACATTTTCTTTTCTTTTCTTTTCTTTTTTTTTTGTTCCCAGGGATCAAACTCATGACTTTGTGCTTACAAGGCAGGCTCAGCACCACTGAGCTAAATCCCAAGCCCTATGACATTTTGTTTATCCATCTGTTGATGAGCACACAGGCTGCTTCCATAATATAGCTATTACAAATTGTTTTGCTATGAGCATGAGTATTTCCCTTTTGTCCTATGGAACATGACCACATTTCTCATCCAGTTCAGTCTACTCATAGCCTACATGATAAGACAGACACATCTTCCTTTTGAAGACACTAACTCATAAGTCAGTTTATCAGTGTGTGGGTGACTGATAATAGATATTACTTCAGTATTTGCCCCATAAACATGTGAGATTTTATGGTAAAGAGATATAGCTCCTCTTTATATATCCATCACCCTTTTGTTACCTGATGCACAATAACTACCTGCTAGCCAAAAATACCTTTTATAGAAACTACAGGTTATATGGGTCACTATCGAGATCTTATCCAAAGCTTCAAATTGTCTCAAAAATCACTTCCTTGACTATAAGGCAAGAGAAAGGAGAGCAGGAGGAGAGGGGAGGAGAGGGGAAGAGAGGATAGCAATGGGAATGGATATTATCAAAATATGTTACATGTATCTATGAAAATGTCACAGTGAGCCTCAGTTCAAAAGCTATTTTTAAAATGCTTGTTGAATAAAGAAATTTAAAAATCACTTCCTTGCTGAAGTCTTTTCTCATACTCCCCAATGCATCTGTCTTCTCTCTTCACATCTTACAACTGGAAGAAAAAGTCTGTGCCTAGTTAATCTACATACTTTCAGCAAGTACAATATCTAGCACAGTGCCTGGCTAATACAGTGGCTAAATGAATAAATAAGCTAAATTTGCTAAATTAAATTACAGGCTCAGAGTGGTGGTTCTATGACTTCATAAAAGGGAGAGAGTTCCTTCTACCCACCCATTTTACAGATGAGGAAACCATCATTTTTATGTCTGCTTTTTCTACTGTCACCAGGAAGCCAGTCCTGATGCTGTGAAGAACCAGCCCCTCACCCTGGTCCTCAGTTCTTTGGGCCTTTGATGAAAGACTTCAGTCAAGACACATAGGCAGCTGTGCAGAAGTACAGGTAGAGTTTATTGTAAGTCAAATACACAGTTACACCTTCAAGCAGGAAGGCAGGCATGCCACAGAGACATCTGCATGGAGTACAAGTTTGGCTGTCTTCCTGTACACTGCCTCACTCCTGGGGAATCAGGATGGTTATCACCACTTCATTTACCTGATGTACACACTTAGTGACACTTTTCCTAGAAGTTACTTTGGAATGTCAATATCTCAAAAGTGTCTTTCTGTTCTTTTCAATTGGCCTATGTTCCCTGAGGGGCCTTAATCAAGAAACCTAGGAAGGAAATTGTGAAAGAAAAAGTTCTAATCTAAATCAGGACTCACCCAAGGAGGGAGGGTCTTTAAAGAATGTTGCCCTTGCTGATATCATCAGACATAGGCCCCGGCCCCCAAGAATGCCATAAACCTTGTTTTGGAAAAAAAAAAAAAAAATACTAGGTGGTGTATGTGCACAATGTGTAACCTTAACATGTCCCTGTGCTGTGCAGGATCACTTTGGGTCTGAGACCTAACAAATACTGGAAATGCGTTACACAGGAAGTCTCTTCATTTAGCTATGAGTGTATACTAAGGGAAGTTTTTCTCATTTAGCTGTAACTAGCAGAGCACGCTATTCGGCACCTCCTTTGTCCCCCATGCCCATTAATGTTTACCTGGCCAGCACCACCCGGGCCCAGCTCCACCCCGCAAGTAGCAAACCGTCCACAACCCTCCCCCAGGTGAAGGAAGGGGGTGGAAGGGGGCGTGGAGCGGTTGTGCAAATCGCCCAAAGTCACCTGCCCTTCCTGGGTGGCCTTGCTCTTTGGAAACGAATCCAATAGCAAGGTGACCAGCAGACGGAGTGGAGAGCCTGAGGTGAGCCACAGCAGACGCGGCCCAGACGTGGCCCAGCCTCGGGTCTCTCGAGGTCTTCCGTCCTTGCACCTCGCCCTGCTGGGGATTCACATCCCGCTCTGACTCAGCTATGAGTCGCCTCGGTCTCTCCCACCCGGCTGGGTGCTCCAGGCTCCTTGCAAAGCAACGCAGTCGTTCCAGCCAGGAAGAGAGTCTCCCAGCCTGCACGCCCCAGGGTCTGAGCAATGCGAGTGCCCGGAGGGCAAGGGAAGCGGGGACCTTAATCACCTGGGCTCTTCCCGGTGCGCCTGGGGACGCCGAGCGAGCTGGAGGCGGCCTCTGACGGAGGCGTGATGGGAGGTCGCAGGAGAGGCCGGGGGTGGGTGGTGATCCCGCGTTCCAGGGCTCGCTCCCCGCCCTCCTGTCTCAGGGCTGCCTTTGGCCACCACAGGCCCTTAAAAGCTGCAGGCTGCGCCTCCTCCTCCCCGAGGGAGCAAGACCCAGCAGGCCGAGCTGGGCGTGCCCTCGCCTGTCCGCCGCGCCGCCCGGGCCTCGCAGTGTCGCTGGGGCCCAGACAGTGCACCCGCCCGCGTCCCGCCGGGCTCCGCCTGGGTGGCCTCTGCCCAGGTCTCAGGGGAGCAGCTGTTCACGTGCGCGGCCGCCAGGCTGGACGGACAGGAGGTGGGTGCTCGGGGGCTGGGGTCGGGAGCCTGGGATGGGCACTGTCCTGGCTTGAGACCCCTGTCCCGTCCTTGCTGCAGCCCTTGGCAGGTCAAGGTAGGTGTTGAACTAGAAATGATTTCCTGGCCCTTGACGGGCAGGGATAGGTTTCTGTCCACCCAGCATTGCAGCATAATGGACAGACAGACACCGAGCATGGCCAAAGACAGACCGAGTAGTCCTGGCCACGGGGCACCTCTGATCCAACAGAGGAAGGTCGAGGCTTCTTTCCGCTACCCTTTCTTCCCTCTGACTTTCTGGGATTCTCGCTTTGGCCTCCTTGGTTCTCCCCGGCTCAAGTTTGCTGTTCCCTACAAGTAACAGCTTGCTGCCCTCCAGAAGTTCCTTCGGAAAGGAAGGCGCAGAATGATAGGAAAGGAATGTGGGGAAACCAGATTGCCCAATTTGGGGTGGAATTTTCAATGCGAAGGACTCTCCATCTCTGGCCTGTGGGAGAAGCGTCTGGTCCCCAGGTTAGAAGACCTTGTATCTGATCACTGGAAAACAGTCACCTTAAAGGAAGGCTATTTTCTTTAGGTACAAAATATTTTTTAAATGAAACCTCAGACAGTAACATTTTAGAAATTTTAGGCTCTGACAAACAGTTAGAGGCTGAGTTTGAGTCTGATTATGAAAGGTTTCTTTATTGTGCCCCTACTGGGAAACATTGCGTTGAGCGACGTGCTCAGTAAAGGCCTCAGGGAGTTTAGCTCCTTCGTCTTAATTAGCAAGGACACAGCCCAGCCTGGTGAATAAGGCTTTGGAGTGAGAAAGCCGTGTTCCTCTCTGGGCAACACGTCTCACCCGAGTGACTTCAGAGCTCGGAGCTGGGTTCCTCATGCTTAACGAAGATTCCTGAAAGCAGGAAGGAGACAACAGAAAGACAGCAGCTAATGCAGATCGCCTCACGGGAAAATGGTACCGCAGGCTACGACGACAGAGGGCGGTGGGTGGGCCCTGTGATCACGCCCGCCCTCGATGGGGGGGGGGGGGGGAGCGCCTGGGCTCATGCAGTGAGAGGTAATGGGGTGCAGCCTTGGGATCCTTCCAGTCATAAAACCACTACGTAAGAATTACTTCTGAGTTTCTGAATTTGACTCAAACATCAACTCTGCCCTAACCCTGCTGGGATGTGTAGTAATCAGTTGATGGATTTGCAATATTCGATTTATCTGTTGAGTGTGTTTTGAGATTCCCTTAGTGCTTACAAAGTGCCTTTTCAAGTGAACTCGTAGCTGGTGTGACACCGTTGGTTTAGTTATTTTTGGTTGTAAAAATAACGTTCCTCAGATGCCGTCATAATCCCCAGTTTGATGTTGATCTGGGAGGCTGAAGGGAGGAACTGAGTCTTGGAGTTAATTTTTCACTTGGCGGCTGTGACTCAAAGCTGAGCAGTCAGGTGGCCCCCCGGGCTGGTTAGCCCTGTGGGGCTCTGGCCCCCCCTGGCCACATGAGGACCCTGCACGGTCTGAGACTGGCAGCTGGAGAAGCCCTGCCTGCCTCCCCGTGTGCACTGGTGTTTCTCAGTGTTGGTCTGAAGAAAACAGGATTTCTCACGAGCTACTGCTACATAGTAAAGTTTAAAACAAACAAAAAAAAAAGATGAATTTAGTCGTTTGCATGGTTTTTGTTTTAAATCTTTCAAACAATGCCCTTTGGTAGTATCATTTGTTTGTTTCAAAGAGAGAGCTGACATCTCAAATTTTGTTTAAATTCTGCCAGTTTTGGATTCCGATGCTCCTTTTGCCCTCTGAAGCAGGCTGACGCTGCCCTCACCAGCACTTTGGGGAGTGAGCTTTTCTGCTGGATGTCACCCCTGTCTTTCAATCTCTTGCCAAAAGTGTATCCAAAAGCTTCACTGATTCATTTACAAATCCTTTTCTTTTTTTCGGGGCTGGAGACTGAACCCAAGGCCTTTGCACTGAGCTACATCCCAGCCCTTTTTCGTTTTTTATTTGAAAGCTTGGTCTTACTAACTCTTTAAGTTGCCCAGGCCGGACTCAAACTGATCCTCCTGCCTCAGCCTCCCACAGCGCTGGGATTACAGGTGTGCACCACCACTTGGCTCATGTCAATCTTTATAAGGCATAAAACAATAATCTAACTAAATCAAATGCATGGCAATAATTATTAATAAAGTCTATCATTATATTCATTTAAGGTGAAATAATGAATGAGATCAAAATTATTTTGCTACATTTTTATTTTTATTTTTTGAGCTTTTGAGCTTTCATACCAGATGTCAGTATCTATGGGAGGGATGAATTACAGTAAGTCCCTGATTTATGAACTTTCAAGTTTCAAACTTTCACAGACACGTTAGAAACATTCACATTCAGAGATGCAAACAAATCACAGAAGAGCAGTGCCTCGGTTCACAAACTCGATTCTTTCTTTGATTCTGGTAGCAAAGTGAATTGGACGAGAACCAAATCAAATTGCAGCTCACATCTGCCCAGCATTGTTCCAGTTGTGCTGCTGTGTGCTTACTGTACAGTGCGATAGTGTACAATAGTACAACTGGGGAGTTAGTGTGTTTGTGTATGTGTTTGGTTTTTTTATGCTTTACAGTGTATATTTGTGTCAAAGGTATATAAGACTCAATGTGTTGGACTTAAAAACAAATCCGATTTATGACCATTCTGCTGGAACAGAACTTGTTCGTAAGTCAGGAACTTGCTGTAATACACATCTGTTAACAATATTAGAGATAGAGAAAGGTTTAAGACATTCTTGTTTAAAATCAACTTTTTTGAGGGATAATTTTCATACAACAAAATGAAATGAATGTGTATACATTAAAATCTGTGCATGATTGTATGTAAATTATACTTCAATGAAAGTTGATTTTTTAAAAATCTATGGAGGATTGCTATGGTCTATTGCCTTTATAAGAGCTGTTGTCTTTATAATTAAGCTACTGAATTTACTGTCTGGGCACCAGAAGCCCTGCAGAATTTTTGAAGAAGAAGCTAAAATGAAAACCAAAAATAAAAACCAGTTTTGCTTTGCAGGGTCTCCTAGTGTGTCCTCCTCCGTCTGACTGGGTCTGCCTCTTACGCAGCAGACACTGCCTGGGTCAAAATGCTCTCCTCCAGTGACTTCACACCTGCATCCTGGGAGCTCGTGGTCCGAGTTGACCACCCAAACTCAGAGGAGCAGCGGGACATCACGCTAAGGGTGTCTGGGGACCTGCATGTGGGAGGCGTGATGCTCAAGCTGGTGGAGGAGATCAGTAAGTTGGCTTTTCCTGGTGGTTCCTCTCCATCACATCCCCACTTCCTGGCTGATCAGCCCACCTGATCACAGGTCTCTCTGCTCATCCACCTCCCCATGCCCAGAAAGCAGGTACCTCCTCGTTGACCCTCTGTCTCTCCCAGGAAGAAGAGGTGCAAAAGAGAACCCTGCAGGAGCCTCAAGCTAAACCCCAACTACCTTTGTACAGCTGAGTCTATGGGGGACCATCAGACGCTCCCCAGTGGGTATCAGCTGTACTTCCACAAAGACAGTGCCTATTCCATTTCTGACATTTCAGGTGACTTTAGGTGATGGCATTAGACTAAAGTGCTGAGTCTCTGCTAACATTTGGTTGCTTGGAGATAAGTCAGCTTGACGCTAAGGTATCTGATCACCCTTACCATGGGCTGCTATACCTAATAAATGAAGATGGAGCAGGTTTCACATCAGACAACAATGCACAATGAGTCAATACTATTGGACCTAGACTGTAATAGCTTTCTGTTTTCTTTGTACTTATGTTACCTTTTTAAGCCTTTCATATGATGGCTTTTCATTTACACCAATGAGATAAAGTCTTTTTTTAGGTAACCCTTAACTGAAATACAAAATACATAGGCAAAGTGCACTTCTAAGGGCACATGTTCACTGATTTTAAGTCATGTAACCATCACCCAGATCAAGATAGACCATTACCTGTTCTCCTACCCAGATCCCATACCTGACCTCTCCCAGTCACTACTGCACAGGGTAACCACTGTCCTGGCTGCTAACACCAAGAATAACTTGGCTTGTTTTTGAATTGCATATAAAAGGAATTATATGGGATATACTTGCACAGATTTTCTTTCACTCAACATTATGTCGGAGAGATTTATTCATATTGTTACATGTAGTTTTAGTTCATGTTTTCATTGCTGTATAATATGACAACATTGTATATATAATATATGTGAATCTACCACAGTTTATTCATTTATCTTACTTTGTTTTATTTTGTTTTGTTTTTTGAGCCAGGGTCTTGCTATGTAGTTCAGGCTGGCCTTGAATTCACAGCAGTCATCCTACCTCAGCCTCCTGAGTGCTGGGACTACAGGCTTAGTTACTTTTGTCATTGGTGGGACAAAATACTCAACACCCAAAGTTAAAGGAGGAAAGGCTTATTTCAGCTCACAGTTTGTAGCGGTTTCACTCCATAGGTGTCTGGCTTCAAGGCAGGGTGACATGGAAGAGGGACATTGCAGAGGAGAAACAGTCCATGGCAGAGCAGACAGGAGTCACTGAAGCAGCAGTCAGCAGCCCGCCTTTGCCTTTTATCCCATCCAGGTTACTAGCCTTTTGGGTGGTGTCACCCAGAACTGTGCTAATTTCAGTCAGTGAGCTAATTTAGCACTACACACCCTTAATACTAGTATCACATGCCCTAGATCCAGCCAGCTCCAAAAAGCCCCACCTATGAGCACATGAGGCTTTGGGGGGACATCTAGACACAAGCTGTAAAACCCCCTTCAGTGTCACTGCTTCAGAACTGGGGCTGTAGTGATGCTGCCAGGAGAGAAGGGGTGGTGGCTGTGAAGTTAAATGTTACCTTCTGGCCCTGTGTGCACTTCCTGGGCATCCAGTGGTACAAAGGTACATTTCTACAAGAGGAATAAGATTGATTTTAAAAAACCAAATACTTTGGACTTTCCCAGAATGCCAGCAACACAGGGGTTTTAGAACAAAGAGTTTAGCGTTCATCCTGAACAGAAAGTTCAGACTTCTGTTCCTTCAGTATTTCAATGTGCATGGAGGTAGAGTTCCACTGTTTTCTCCTTGCCCCACTTGGGAGACTCTCGAAAGAAGCCAAGGACTGTTGAGTCCTGGACTGCAAAGAGGTGCAGAGCTAAAGATCAGCTGTTGATTTTGGGTTTTGCACCCAAGGAAGTGGACTCCAGGCACCTCTGCTGGGTCGGCTGTCTTTTTACCTGACTGTGCTTCCAATATTTGCAGACATTGCCCAAGACTGGTCAGATTTCGCTCTGTGGTGGGAGCAGAAGCATTGCTGGCTTCTGAAAACCCACTGGACCCTGGACAAATGTGGGGTGCAGGCCGATGCCAGGCTTCTCTTCACCCCTCAGCACAAGATGCTGCGCCTCCGCCTGCCCAACCTGAAGACGGTGCGGATGCGCATCAGCTTCTCAGCCGTGGTGTTCAGAGCCATCAGCGACATCTGCAGAGCCCTGAGTGAGTACCAGCCCCGGCCCTTTAGACTCTCAGCAAGGAACCAGAGAAGAACACTGCTTCATGCTGGCCTGGCGCCCCTGGTGAGGGAGCACCCCTTGCCTAGCAGCTATAAGCCCAGTCTGCGTCCCACAGCCACATATATGGGTTAACATTCATTTCCACCCAGCTCAAAGCAGTTTCAAAAGACATTTGTAAATAGAAGGACAAACCATTAAAGTTGCCCAAAAATTCATGTCCCCAAGCTATACTCAAATTATTATTATGTTTTAGACCAAGGAGGAGAGGGTTGTATTAAATCCTTCATCATTGTAAGAGCTGGTGTTAGTGCGTATTATTTTCGAGTTGATGGTGTTGAAGTGTCTTAACTGCTTCATAAACACCTGGTTCAGTAAACAACTATCTGCAACAGTCACTTGTGAGTGGAAGCCGATTTTTTTTTTTTTGGTACCTGAGATTGAACTTGGGTCCTTGCGCTTGCAGGGCAGGTGGCGGAACCACTGAGCTAAATCCCTGGCCCTGAAGCCGAATTCTTTATGGATTGCTGTCCCAAAGTAGAATTGAGAAACAACCCTGACCTTCTTCTTTACAATGTTCCATAAAACAAGGGAGCTTTGTGCTGTTAAGGTCTTGATGTTTTATTTATTTTATGGTACTGGGATAAACCCAGGGTGCTCTACCTTTGAGCTACATGTTTTTTAATTTTTATCTTGAGACAAGGTTTTGCTATCTTTCCCAGATTGGTCTCAAATCTGAGATCCTCCTGCCTCAGCCTCTCAAGTAGCTGGAATTACAAGTGTGAGCCACCACACTGGACTGAAAGTTAATATTTTAGACCATAATCCCAGCACTGCTGAGGCAGGAAGATTGCTGAGAGTTCGAGCCCAGCCTGGGCTACGTAATGAGTCCAAGGCCAGCTTGAAGTACAGAATGAGACACTGTCTCAACCTCCCCCCAAAAAAGAAAGTTAATATTTTATATTTTTTGAAAGAATATAGATATCTTCTTTGGTACCAAAGCCAAAAGTGAGCTTTTGAACACAGAATAGATAACTACATATATTTCTGTGGGTCATCTGTCTCATTTGTTGAATTATAGAGCCCTTCATTCACTCACTTACAAGTATTTATGGAGCACCTACCAAGGGCTAAGTGGTGTGACAAGTGCTGGGGGGAAATGAGCCAACACATGTGAAAAGTAAGAAAAGGATATAGGATATAGAAAGAGAAAAAGGGGGACAGTGTCAGCAGGGTTGAGAATTCCAGTGCTGGACAGTGAGGGTGGGGATGGCATGAAATAGGGCCGGGCAGAAAGCAGGTCCTGGGCAGGTCTGTGTCCCTCCGCCCTGGAGCACATGAGCTGCCTCGTGACCACTGAGTGACCGGTGAATGGACCCTTCCATTCCAGAGCATCACCTCCAATGTGACCCTGGTGCGTGGGCCAAGGACACACACAATCCCGCTTTGTTTTCAGTTATAGTCCAAGGAAAATTTGAAAGCAAAGTTAATGATTAAATAAAATGGTGCTTCAAGTGGCCAGGGATTTAGCTCAGTGGTGCCGCAGCCTGAGTTGCAAGTGCAAGGTCCTGAGTTCGATCCCCAGTACCAAAAAAAAAACAACAAAATGGTGCTTCCCACACAGACTGGAAGTGCACATCATAGCCAAGGCCAAGAACTTGAAGTTTTAAGATAAACGGCAGCAGTCAGATGTCCTCTTCCCTGCTTATGTCTTAATGGTTGCCTTAAGGCTCCACCTGGCATTTCTTTTCTTTTCTTTTTTGAGACAGCATCTCAATCTATAATTCAGACTGGCCTTGAATTCACTATGTAGCACAGGCTGGCCTCAAACTCCTGGTGATCCTCCTGCCTCAACCTCCCAAGTCCTGGTATTACAGGCATGTGCCACCACACCCAACCCTCTCGGGGTTTCTAACATGGGTTTCTACATCTGATCGGTTGAATTAAATCACACCCAGCAGTTGCTTAGTCACTTTCCCATCACCGAGACATGGAATGGGAGTTGGAAAGTGAAATTGGGAAGAGCAGGCCACCAATAAGGGTGCCACCAACTAGGTCACACCGGGAGCAACTGGAGACTCTGGGAGACAACGCAGACCCAGCCTCAGGGCAGCACCTCCTCCCTGGCAGAGGCATTTGGGCATCTCTGGGGGCCGATACTAGGGAGCCTGAGTGTCCTCCTGACCTTGTGGACTGTTGTGTGTCCTCGGGCAGCCACCAGAGCGAGCCCTCAAGCCAAGACGAATGTCCTTGAGGCTACTGAAGTCACACACTGAAAGGGAGGGCCAAGAAGAGGTGCAGGAGTGAGGATGTCAGACCCGGCGGCGTGTGGGAGAAGGGCAGTCAGCCCTGCAGGCCACAGAAGAGGGAGGCCGGCCCGTGGTGGTGGTCACAAAACGGAAAGAGAGGGAAGACAGGAAGAAAGAAGGAGAAGAACTAGAAACTGGGCTAGTCTGGGTCTCCCGCCACTTCTTTTCCCCCCTTCTATTTCTTCAGACGGGATGCACTTTAGTTTTGTTTACCTCCCAGGAATTTCCTGAGACTTCTCATCAAATGAACAAAATGCCTCTCTCTGAAGGAATTTTCTCTTTACCGTTTAGTTTTACTTTTTTTTCTTTACTGAAGTACATTTGGTATTTTATTTTTAGATATTAGAAGATCAGAAGAACTTTCCTTGTTAAAGCCTTCTGGTGACTATATTAAGAAGAAAAAGAAGAAAGACAAAAACAATAAGGAGCCTGTGATTGAAGATATTCTGAACCTGGAGAGTTCTCCAACAAGTTCGGGTTCACCAGGTAAGAGCTGTTCTTTTAATTTGTAAGTGTAGATGAAAACCCAAGAGGAAAATCTCGCTCGCTCTCTCTCAACAAATGAGGAAGAAAATTGCAGGACTGATGAGATGAAGAAGATGTCCAGTTAATATTACAAATAACAAAACTTTATTTCAGGGCCGGGGATTTAGCTCAGTGGATCTGCCACCTGCCTCACAAGCACAAGGTCCTGAGTTTGATCCCTGGTACAAAAAAAAACACTTTATTTCAGCCTTTTTCTCAACAGGTATACTTAATAACTCATTATTATAATTGCATATCTTATGTTGCTGATGAATGCAAAATTTTAGTACAACTGTCCATGGGTTGGGAATAAAAGAGGAATGTTTAGACAGGAGTTGAGTTGGATTGCTCAAAATGTTTCCCTCTTCTTGATTCTCTTTGTGTGATTCTTTCCTAAATTCAATTTATTAGGGTGATAAGGGTTCTGAAGAGGTATCATCCCTTTCTTCTTATTCTACAGTAACCAAGTGTCTAACTTGTGTCCCACTTTAAGGGCTTTCTTGCATAGTATATTCCATTGCAAAGAGTAAGAGACGTATTTGTATTGTATGCAAACCTGAGCCATATGGTCAAGTTGCTGGATTCTTAAAATTGGCAAGTTCTGCCATTTCTTTAAGGGACTGTCTGACATACTCAATAGTTTTGTTCTGTGAGTTTTCCTTTTTTGGGGGGGGTGGGTAATCAGGGATCAAACTTGGGACCTTCTGCTTGCGAGGCAGGTGGAAGAACCACTGAGCTAAATCACTGGCCCAAGTTTTCAGTTTTCTAAGAGTGTCAAGACTTCTGTCAAAATAAGAGAACTTCCAATTATGAGAAAAGAAGTGGTCTTCAACATCTGTATTGATTTTTTGGAAGCCTTTACATCTTTGAGTTCCTAGGAACTGAAAATACAGACCTTTACCTGTGTTCAACTAATCTCCCTACCATCATGACTGCTATGATAAATGGCACCGACACTTAGAGAAATTTCATTTTAGTGTATGGAGCTCCTTACTAAAGATTCCTACCCTGAGTCTCAGGGTAGAACATGTCTTCCCTTGCCTTGCAGGAAGTGCTGGCTTATACAGCAAGACCATGACTCCCACCTATGACCCCATCAACGGGATGCCCGTGTCGTCCACCGTGACGTGGTTTGGTGACAGTCCCTTGGCAGGACAAAGCTGCAGCATCCTCGCCTTCAGCCAGCCCCCCCAGTCCCCAGAAGCACTGGCTGATATGTTCCAGCCCCGGTCCCTGGTGGAAAAAGCCAAGCTTAACACAGGGTACGCATGGGGCTCCGCTGTGCTTCTCTCTGGACTGGGGTTGACTTAGCAAGAAAGAGGTCGCAGAGAGGGGCAGGGTTGAGGTTTTAAGTTGAGTGGCCTGGGAACTGGGCTTTATTAGTAAAAGCCATGCTGACTTTGGCAGCAAGAAGGGTCACTTCAGTCCCTTTAAAGGTGTGGCAGAATGTGTGAGTCAGGAGAACTCAGAGGCTTACCATGGGTGAATGTCCCTGCTACTGCAGGTATGCAAAGTGTTTTGTGGGATGTAGAGCCATTTATAAGAGCTGGGTCTCTGTGAGCCTTTTGGCACAGTCTCAAAGACAGCTCGCACTGTCTTTGTAGAACCCCACTCCTCGCCATGAATGAGCAAGTCCTGGACCTCAGTTTGAAATGGCCTCAGAAAGTCACCCAAACTACTTCTCATGCCTCGCATATTCTACATTGAAGTCCCTTGTGAGCAGCGTTCAGCTCTCTAACACACCTGGCCCAGGGATGTCTGGGTCCCCACTGTGCCCTGGGACAGGCTCCCTCTTCCTGTCACTGCTCCACCTCCTAACCCTCTCCCCTTTGCCACCTCTGCTGCCCATTCTGTCCTTGTCCCTTAAGGCCCAGCTGTGTGCCTCTCTCTGCCTCAAGTGTCACCAAAGCCAGTCCCTTCCCTGCAGTTCCGGGCTAGCCCTGGGCTTGCCCCAGTGTCGGGAGGCTGCTATCTTGAGGCTTAGCTCCACATGGATGGTCCCCACCTGGGACAGCCCTGCACAAGGCCTAAGAGAATGAACCAAGGCCTCACCCTTAGCCTCTAGTCCTCTCCACTGTCCAGTTTTTACTTTCCAACTCTAAAATGCCACTGCCCCTAGCCACAGTGACTATCTACATTTAAACTTAGACTTGAATTAGTTGAAATTAAAATGGGGTATTAACCACATTTAAATATCAGACAAGTAGGAGTGGCTAGAGGCTCGGACATTGTTTGGCACTGGTGTGAAGACTTCCCTCACAGCAGAAATCTGATCTGGGCTAAGCCACCTGGCACAGTGGAGAGGCCATGCGGGAAGTCGGGGACTCAGATCCTCTAATGGCACTAAGACTCAGATTCCCCATGAGGCCAGCACTGAGCCTGACCATTGTATTTGACTCTGTTCTCATCCAATTCAGTTTGCAACCAGCATGGTAGAAAGAATTAAGTTCTTGAACCGAGGCACCACTGTATATGTAATTTACATATAAATATGTATATATGAGTGTGCACATATATATTATATATAAAATGAAACCTTAAAACTACGTTAATATGCAAATATAAGCTATTATTATGTGCTTAATGGTTTGGGAGGGATATTGCTCCTTCTGCCTTTGTTCAAGGATACCCATGTACATATATATATATATATATATATTTAATATAGGCAATATAAATATGTATCATATTGTATGCATAACTGACTGGCTTTAAATCTGCTGCTGTTTTCCAGTTGGCTGGACTCCTCGCGCTCCCTCATGGAACAAGGCATCCAGGAGGATGAGCAGCTGCTGTTACGATTTAAATACTACAGTTTCTTTGACTTGAATCCTAAAGTAAGCTTTTCCCCTTTTATTTCCCCCTCTTTTTTCATGTGAAGTGAAAAACTGAGTCCCTGAATTATCAGAACTAGGATCCGCTGGTGACAAGGTCTCCGGCCTTGCAGGGCGAGGCTGATGCATGCTGGTCTCTGATTCGCATCCTGTGGTTTCTGGTGGGCGTGGTCACTGTCCCTGAGCCGGTGCACTGCTGTCTGGATTCACCCTTCACAGGAAGGAAGGGAGGAGAGTGGCTCCCCAGCCAGAGTCCTCAGTGGTTCCAATAGGAAAGAAGTTGTTGGGTAGGAAAGAAGTTGTTGGCCCAGGTGAGAGCAGGTTTACAGCTGAGAGAGTACACCATGCCTCCCACTGCACTGCTCAAAAATCTGTTGTACCATGTATCAGAATTTATTCCCTTTTTAAGTCTAAATAATATTGTATCATGTGCACAGATGTATCACCTTTTTTTCATTTGTTTGATGTTTGGTTTTTGGCTTTTTGAGCCTTGAACTTACTATGTTCAGCCCGGGGGCTGGCCTCAAACTTGAGGTGCTCCTCCTGCCTCAGCCTCCTGAGTGCTAGGATTCTAGGTGTGTGCCACCATGCCCAGCTACATACCACCTTTTATTACTCAGTCATTGGTAGACATTTGGGATGCTTCGCTTTTGGTAGATAATGCTGCCATGAACATTGCTGTACCAGTATTTGTTTGAATCCCTGATTTCCATTTTCTTGGGTATACAAATAGGAGTGAAATTGCTGTATCATATTCCAAGTTTATCTCTCCAAAAGCTATTATCACTTTTCTTTGGAGATTGCACCATTTTACATCCAAAAGTGCACAAGCGTCCCACTTTCCACACCTTACCAACACTGGTTATTGTATGTGTTTTAGATCAGAGCCAACATGGTATCTCACTGTGGTTATACATATATTTTTGGATGGTGTGATTTTTTTGTTTTGAATTTTTTGTTCCCCAAATAACTAGGCATTTTCAACACTGCATCCAGCATTGAATTCTTTCCTTACTGATATAAAGTGTTACTATTAGTTAAATATGTATACATAGCTCTGTTTCCAGATATTGCTTTATTGATAGTTTGTCCACTCTGTTCTGATACCATGCTATTTTAATTCCCATAGCTTTACAATATGCTTTAATGTCTGTGAGGACAATTGCTACTGATATAGGGAAAATAAATATAACTCTCAAACCTGCTAGATATCCGAAGCATGAGTTTGTGTTCTCTAAAATCTAAGAATGAATTCTAGGAACAACGGAGGTTAAGAGTAGGAAAAAATTATTGAGAGAAAGATAGCTTCTAAGAAAACAGAAAGGGGACCAGAAAATGGGTTACCCACCGACTGCTGCTCAAAGGTGTTTTATGGGAAAAAGCCAAGAGGTGAGGTGGGTTCAAGGTGGGACAAAACTATAGTCAACTATAAGATTACAAGTACAGTCACTTAAATAATACTGATCCAATGAGAAATCACAAGGTGGGCAAAACTATGATCAACCAATAAGATTATAAGTATAGTCCCTTAGGTAATATTGATTAGATGGAGATCCAATAGGGAAGCAAGTCGCATAGCAAGTGTACAAGGACTTTTGGTCAGCGATCTTTCCTCGAAGGGATGGGTAAGATCTTGGTCCCTCACTCAGGTGGTTGATACCTATTTAGAATATCAATCACTGCTATTCATCCTCAGGGGAAGAACACGGGTGTTGTAGTTTCGCCTTTACAATGCTGGCCTTCAGTGAGCTGCATCCCCAGCCCCAGTGAATGTGTCTTCACTGTCCTCCATGTTGGCTCCTCACAGCCTGGCCCTGTCTAACTGCCTACAAGATACCTAATTAACTTACCTATCTACAGTACTACCCCCAACATTGTTCTTCTCTTTCTAAATTTTCTTGGCAATTTTTGAACATTATCTCTTCCACATTAACTTGAAAATCAGCATAAAGTTCTGTTTTAAAATCTCTATCAGATTTTACTTGGGATTACACTGACTTTGCAGATCAATTTGGGATCCCTTCTCTTTATACTGCTTATCATTTTTAAAGCATTTTTACTGTCTGGTTTTATTACCAAAGAGATGTGGTAAGAGAAGGAAAATAATAGAATAGAAAGTGGGTCAGTTTGACCCCTCGAAGAAGCTCTGGAAAATATTCACAAAAAGAAAGGTCTAAATTCAGAAATAAAGTAAGCTGGGGTGATAGACAAGTAGAGGTGTTGCTTCCAGTTACCTGAACTAAGTTTAGTGCATTTCATTTACAGAAAATGGCCTCAGGAGTCCAGAAGTTTTGGGGTTTTTTTAAATAAATTTTATTTTATTTTATTCCATTCTTCCCCTCAAGCCCCCTCCCCTCCCTATGTACAAAAGCTTTGTTTCCATTTTTTCCTGCTATTTTCACTTTTTTCTTGGCCCTTCCTTCCTTTCTCCCTCCCCCCCTCCCTTGTTCCCCTTCCCATTTGAACACTTGCTTCCCATTTCCCAACATCCATTACACATTTCAGTCCTTATTTCCACTTTCTGTTTCTCACACCAGGGAAACAATGCAGTATTTAAACATGTGTGTCCAATTTATTTCACTTAAGAGTATGAAATCAAGGCCCATTCATTTAGCTATAAATGTCTGAAGCTCAGACCCTTCTTTATGGCAGAGTAGTACTCTATTATATATATAAAAAAACACATCTTCTTTATCCACTTGTCAATTGATACTCCAGAAGTTTTGTGCTGTGGAATATAAATACTCCCCCATATACATGCACACATGCACACATCTGTTTCTTTCTCCAGTATGATGCTGTCAGAATAAACCAGCTCTACGAACAAGCCAGGTGGGCTATTCTCTTAGAAGAAATCGACTGCACGGAGGAAGAAATGCTGATCTTTGCGGCACTCCAGGTATGGGAACTTCAGTACTTTTTCTCTGCAAGGAGATAAATCAAGTTCATGCTGCTGAAAGTTTCATTTTCTTTGTACTTTTTTTTTCCTTTGATGAAAGAAATGAAAAGGATACAAGTAGATTTAAATTTAAAATACCCCTCACAATTCATACATGTGTGCATGCTGTGTGAGGCATTGTCTTCCAAGTCTGATTTCTTCCCTACCACAACCCTGACCACTGATGGGGAAGGACCAAGGTGAACTGGACCTTCCCTAAGGATGGAAGGATGGGTTAGATTCAAGGGCCATTTTCCCTGTGCAGGTGGGAGGTCTCCCTTTGGAGGATGTTCATTATCCCAGGGGAATTGTCTTTAGAGAAGGAGTAACTAATGGCTTTGTGTGTGTTTATAATTATTTCTGAAACCCATATTTTCACTTAGTATCACATCAGCAAGCTGTCACTGTCCACTGAATCTCAGGATTTTACAAACGAGTCTGAGGTTGACGAAGTTGAAGCTGCACTTTCTAACTTAGAAGTGACCCTCGAAGGTAGAAAATCAAACAGCACTCTGGTATGGACTTTTCTCTTAACTTGGGATCGTGGCTTTGTTCTGACTGATGAACAATTTCAGGGGAACATTTTAAAATGAGAAATTAGAAAATATTTCATCTGATTTTGTAAAAAATGAACATGCTCTTTACGTGACGAGCTTAAATTTAACAAGAACTGACTAGCTGCTCTCAGGTTACCTCTGCAAGGGACTATGAGATATTTTTTTTGTCATGACTAAGGATAATATTTTTTGTATTGTATTTCTTCCTGGGAATAAGTTGGCTTGGTGTGAGGGAAGGACTCCTGAGGAGGCCACTTCCAAGCACAGAACATGGAATTGGTCCCTTAGGTCTGGAAAGAACCACCCTGTCTACACAGGGGCAGCTGTGAGAGAAGAGAAAATGCTTAGCAGTTACAGTCTTTTATTATCTGTTTAGCCAATTTAGGTCGGTGGAAGTGAAGGCCTTTTTCTAGAGTACTGTCCAACATTCCTAAACCCTTTTAATTTCAGGAAATAAATTTTTTAAACCCTCCAATAAAACATAAAGAAAAAAATTGACTTCTCCTTTGCTCCTGATCCAAGTAGTGTGGCAGAATCCTGTTTGATTCCTTCACAGAGTGCCAACTTTTTGTTTAACTTATTCAATCATGGGGGTAATTATTAGCTTAATCATGTTGAATAAAAGAGGTGGATCCATTGTAACTGGATCTAAATAGTAGTAATGGATAAGAATGAGTCACTGTGTTCCTAAGAATCTCACGGAGTGTTCTCTTATCATTAAATACCTTAAAATAAGAAAGAGCAAATACTTGGTACAAACTAAATGCAAAGGTTCTGCAGAAGTACAGAGCCCTATTTATCAGAGACATGAGCCCCAGGAAATTGGAGTTCTTTTTCTATTTTCTCCACTGATTAAGTAACCGGAAAATTATCCTTCTTAGAATAAGTGAGAAATTCCCTCCTCCTTCTCCCATATTTTTATGTGACTCTAAACAATAGGTTTCTCAGTATGAAAACAGCACCAACCTACATTGCAGAATGAACTTTGAACCGATTTCTCTTGAAAGTTTAGTCCGTGACCCAGATGTGGCCAGAGTTGCCAACTTTAATAGAAAAATGCAAAAGATGTTTTTGTATGTACAAGTAATCATTTCTAATTCAAATTTTTAACTGGAATGGCAAGTGCAAGGAATGCTGAGCGATTTTTTACATTTTTTGCTGTATATGATGCATACAGAAAAATGAAAAATATATAAAGGTACAGATGAAAAAAATGAGTACTAAATTCTTGCCCAAATCAAGACATAGAATTTTGCCAGCCATCCCTGCTGTTCCCCATCCCACTTCCAACCCTCCCCTACCCCAGCCCTTCAACAACTGACTTTTAAATTTGATTTCATTTGAATAATTTGGATTTAAATAACTGCATGTGGCAAGTGGCTACCATCTTGCACGCGGCTGGTTAGAGCGTCAACACCGCCCAGGAATTTCCTTCTTCTGAAATACTATGTTTTTCCTTAGGAGGACATTACTGATATCCCTAAACTTACAGATAATCTCAAATTATTTAGGTAAGTAACCTTTAAGGGGAAAGGGAGTTCCTCATAGCAAAGCCTTGCGGGTAGAGTCCAGGAGGGTGAATTGTGCATCTGCTAGGCCGGTGTGGTTCAGTTAGGCGTGGGCTTTGGTGTCAGACTACGGGCTGTGTCGCAGCAGCAGCACAAGTATGAGCTGGGCAACCTTGAGTGGTGTCTCTATGCTTCTGAGCCTCACCCTTGTGATCTAATAAATGGGAATAAACCTCCTCCTGGGCAGTTGGAAGGATGAGATAAGATGATACCTATGAAACGCTTACCATGAGTCCTGGCTCATAGTATGTGCTCAGTAAATGGTGATACATTTGCTTTTTTTGGTACCGGGGATTGAACTCGGGACGGTGCGCTTGCAAGGCAGGAGCCGGAACCACTGAGCTAAATCCCCAGCAGTAAATGGTGATACAAACATTACTAAAGTCATGAAAAGAAGTTATACTAGACGGGAATTCTCTGAGGCTCAGGTCTCTGACACCATTTGATGGCTCTCTGGCAGTGTAAGAATTCACTGGTCTAGAACTTCCGATCCTGGGAGGGAGTAGTTACCTTGATCTACTTTCACCTGCTTGAGAGCTGGTTGATCTGAAACTGTAAAGAGCCTTTTGTTTTCTTTTTATGGAAAGAAGGGTACTGCCACCTTTGTGTTGAGATGAAAGGAATCAGGGCCTTTGAAGTCCTGTCAGTTACTTATGTCACTTAATGGTTTGTTGACTTTTCTTAACAATCCAGCACTTCCCTGGGGCAGCTGACTTGAAAGAAATGCAGGTTTTTGATAATACAGGATACAAAGACAGGACAATGAGTCAGATAAATGAGAAACATAGATCCAAAGTAACAATATTTGTCACTGGGTTTGTACAGGATTTTTAATGTGACTGTAAAATGTAATCTCAAATACAGTAATAGAGTCATTAATTTAACTTCTGTGGCTTAAACATTGTAACTATAATTGGCTCATATTGTTATAGTCAGAGCTACAGAAAAATAGTAACAACTTGAAGCTATGACTGACTATGCCATTATAAAATATTCATAATCGTCCCATAAAGAAACTAGGCTGTCATATTCTCTGCACAGAGCAAATCCAGCTTTTCATAGACCAAATCATGGCAGTGCTCTTCCTGTAGATGTTCGAGATGTTTCCATGAAAGAGGTGAGATATGGATACTAGTCATTTTTTGCTGCCCAAATGGCTTTTGGCGCGACTATTACAAGTTGAGAGGGAAGGAAAGTCAGAAGGGAGGGATGGAGGAAAAGGAAATTTGAAGAGTTGAGTTCCCTTTCCTCATCATCATGAGAACTGGACTCATCCTTTGGTTTTTAATTTTGTTTTCTTTTATAGTGAAACTCTTTTTTTTTTTTTTTCTGAACAAAATCTATTGAATCTACTATCTAAATAATGGGCTTCAGCTTTCAACAACATGGCATCAGATCAGTGCAACCCTAATACTGATAAAAGCAGTACCTGTATGTGGTCAGGGAATTTAGCTCAGTGGTTCTGCTGCCTGCCTCATAAGCACAAGGTCCCGAGTTCAATCCCCAGTACCAAAAAAAATCCAAGTACTTGTGTGTGCTGGGTAAAATGAAAGAACTGTAATATTAAATTGATCACAAAGTGAAACTGAGAAATCTCAACCTTTAGAAGCTGGTGCTAGGGCCGGGGATTTAGCTCAGTGGTTTTGCCGCCTGCTGTGCAAGAACAAGGACCCGAGTTTGATCCCCAGTACCAAAAAAAAAAAATAGAAGCTGGTTCTACAAGTGAAAGTCTCAGCCACTCAGAGGGATTTAGGGCACAGATACAGGTTCTCACGGCTTGGGATGGGTATTTCAATTTCTGTATAGGGATAGGAAATAAAGCTTTCTGGCCCATGTAAAGCAATAAACCACACTGAAGCACCTGCCTAAGGGTAGAAACTGGCACAGAGGCCATATCTGTTTAGGGTTAAGCAGGGAACAGAAAACCTACCCATCTTCCAGAGAAAGCAGGAAGGACATTTATCCTAGAGTTGGGTTCTGTGGGGAAAAGAAAAGTCTTTGTTGAGACAGAACAACATGTAGATAGAAACTTAAATGTCTTATGTGATTAGGAAATCCTGAAAAAGTGAAGGAGAAACTGGTCCGGGACTACAAAACCTGTGAAGTCCTAGCAATTGTACGTAGTTGCAAAAATCTTAGAGGGAAATTTTCACAACCAGGCAGGCATGGGCTTTCTGTAGAAAACAGTAAACACCTGAAAAATGAGCTTCCGAAAAAAATTACAAACGTGTGAGTTTGTGGACTGCCCTACGGGACACAGGCCCAGCATGCAAGAGAGTCAGTAATTATGGGAAATAGAACAATCTGAAGAAACCATAAGTTCAGTATGTTTAGAATCATTAAGTAAATTTTAAAAGCATAGTAAAGGAAAACAGGCAATATTGAAAAGGATCGAAGTCTTCTTATATCGTGCAGGTTTGATGATGTGTGTACCAGTGCAGTGGTGTAATTCACAGAAGATCACACTGTACGTGTTAGGGGCAGATGCCCACCACATCTTAAAGATGGGGTGTGCCATGCACAGGTAGGGGCCAGGGATGTAGCTCAGTGGTTCCACCGCCTGCCTGCCTCACAAGCACAAGGACCTGAGTTTGACCCCTGGTACCAAAAAAAAAAAAAAAAAATGTACAGGTAGGAAGTGGACCCTAACCTGCTGACCCCAGCTCTCTGGGCCTCAGAGTGTCTCTAACAAGCTCCTTTCCCTGATGAGCAACAGTCTTCTGAAAAATAAAGTCCAGCTTGCTAGCAGGGCATTCAGAGTCTCACCCCGAGCCCTCTTATCTTCTTGCTATTTTTTTTTTTTTTAATCTTAAAACAGGGTCTCACCACATAGTCCAGACTCAGGCCAGCCTCGAATTCTAGATCCTCCTGCCTCAGCTTCCCATGCACTGAGATTATAGGCATGTATCTGCATATTCAGCTATCTTGTTATTCTGGTCACCACCTTAACCCACGTGTGGAAGAGCTGCAACCACAGAAAGTACCCTCTCCCCCATTTCTGTGACTCAGCACAGTGCCTAGCCTGCAGCACATGTTTAACAACCATTTGAAGGCCTGTGTGGTGTATGACCATAACCTGTAACCCCAGCCCTCTGGGAGGCTGAGACAGGAGGATCAGGAGTTCAAGTACAGCCTGAGAAATGTAGGCACTTTGAGAGACCCTGTCTCAAAATTTAAAAATTAAATAAATAGAATGGTCTTAGAAATTATCTCAGTGCAAAGGCCCTAGCTTCAATCCCCCAGTAAAACTCGTGTGTGTGTGTGTGTGTATTCACATGCATGCACACACACACATGAGCTGTCTGACTCACTGTGTGCTTTTCATGGACGATCCCCACCTTCTCTCCTTGCTCTGCCAGTACATTTTCTTCATCCTTTATTCTCAGTTTAACTGCAGCAACCTTGAACTCCCCACTCCCCACACCCTTGTCGCCTGACTTGCCGGTCCCCACTGCATTTATTTATTTTGTGTTTCCCTCTGAGGAGTCCAGAGACAGCCTTCCTCTTATGGGAATCACCCACCTCTGCCATTCCCCGTCCATCCCACTCACCCCAGCCTCTGGAACACAAAGAGGAGCAATAATTATTGCCTCCTTAATGTACTCAAGCACCTGGAAGACAAGGGAACCGGAAGGCGTTAGTGGAAGGGGTCTGAGCTCTTGGCTCCTCCTAGACTAGTTAACAAGGCCAGAAGGGTCCCTCGCTTAGTGCTAAGGAGAAACATCTGGACACCTAGGACTAACTCACGACCTTGTAACCCACATCCTTTGGTTGTAGGCTGTGTCCTTAGATTTTATTTTAAAATACTATTAATTCCTCAGAATTGAGTATTAGACAATCTGTTGAATTATATTAACTTACAACTCAGTTTAAGTGCACAGTAGTTTTTCTTAATCTTGGAAATGTTAGCTCTCTGTGATGTTCTTCAAATTTATTTCATAATTTTCATGTAATATTCCCTCTGAAACACTTTGGTGTTTGTTTGTTTTAATATGAGAGTCTTCTCGCTTATCTTTGTGCTAAGGTAGCACATTCTAAGCTAAGCTAAGGACAGACTAGTACTAAACTACCAGAAAATGTGCCCAGAGTTCTTTCTTCTCTCCTCGTGTTCTTGGGAGCAGAAGTCCCCTTCCCAGGTGGATACCCTGATCCATCCCTGTTTGTTTATTTTTTTGTTGGTTTTGTTTTGTTCTTTTGTCTTGGGGGTTTTTGTTTGTTTGTGATACTGGGGATCGAACTCAGGACCTTGTGCTTGTGAGGCAGGCGCCCGAACCACTGAGCTAAATCCCCGGCCCCTATTTGTTTGTTTTGAAACGGGGACTTTCTATGCAGTTCTGGCTGGACTTGAACTCACTATGAAGCCCAGGCTGGCCTCAAACTCACAGCAATCCTCCTGCCTCACCCTCCTGAGTGCCTGGCTAGCTTATCTCTTTTCTCTCCAGGTCTGTATCCTCTTTCCTAACCTCTTGCTCACACTTCCTGTTTGGAATAATGCAACCTTGAGACCTGCTGGAGGCACTCACAGCCATTTCTACATTGGAACACAAAGTTTCTGGCCCTGTAGTCCCCTCCGTTGGATAGCTTCCTCCAAAATCTTTTTTGAGAAGAATTTTTTTTTCCCAGTACCAGGGATCAAACTCAGGACACTGTGCTCCCCCAATCTTTTTTAATAACACTAGAGTCACTAGAGCTGAGCTATGGACTTTGGAGGCTTCTGTGGCTCCTTAGGAATTTGGTGGTGGTTTACCCTAAGGCTTCAGAGGAAGCTGCAGAAAAGATTTTCCTGTCTGTTAACTGGAAGCTTGTGCTGTGCTGTCTGTGTCAGCAGCTTCTTCTCAGGCCCAGGAAGTATGTTGCCTTCTCAGATGTTGCCAGAGTCACGTAGGTTTCCCACACAGAGCAAAGGGATTTATGGAGCACTTCAGCTATGCTAGGCACTGTGATAAGCACAGCATTCACATGACCTCTTTCCGTCCTCTCAAGCTGTGTTTGAGTTCGAGACTGCTACTGTTTCCTCCACGGAGAGGTGGCCACAAGGCCCAGGCAGGCAGAGGGGGAGAGCCAGCTTGTAAACCAGGAGGCCGAACTCCTGAGCCTGTGTGTTAACTTCTGCACCGTGCAGCAACAGCTGGTACACATCTGAGCCTGGCTTTTAGAAGCCAGCTACTGGGCTGGGGTGTATCTCAGTGGTAGAGCACAAGCTCAGCAGCCCAGCCCCCAAAAAGAAATGATTTAGAAATTTGCAAATTGTTTTCAAAAAAATAAAGAATACGTTCTCCACAGGGCCCCTGAAGCACCTCGAGCAGCTCAAAATTTGCGTTGTGCTCTGCAGTTCTGAGTGGCTGTTTAAATGTTTACTGTCCTTTAATTTGCAGGCCCAAGAAGCTAGTATTAAAAGGTTTCAAACAATATTGGTTCGTCTTTAAAGACACATCTATAGCCTACTTTAAAAATAAGGATCTTGAACAAGGGGAACCGGTAGAAAAACTAAACCTCAGAGGTAAGAGCACCCTGCAGCCCTCTCCCTGTGACATATGGCAACTCAGCAGGCAGTGTCAGGCGAGGGTCCTGCCAAACCAGGCGAGGCCTGGTTCTAGAGGAACCTGAGCACCACAGCTGCAGCTCTACTTCCTTGTGGAGTGTGTGCCTCGGAAGTAGCACAGTACATGGGTTATTCTTGTTCTGCTGTCCTTTCTTAGTGTGTCTGGAGTCTAGGAAGAGAGGGCAGTTTGAGTCCGTAAGTGTAGCACACAAGGCACTGTAAGATCTTGTGTTAGTTAACTTTTCTCTCTTTGCTGAAACAAAATACTGGACACCTAAAGTTAAAGGGGAAGGGGTTTATTTTGCATACAGTTCATAGAGGTTTCAGTCTATAATCATCTGGCTCCAAGATAGGGTTGGCAAACAGGCATCACAGAGGAAAAACATGGTGCACACAAAGTAGCAAAAGCAACAAGAGACCTTAACAGTGTCTTTCTGCTCCTTTTATCTGATTCAGACTACCAGGATTAGGATGGTGCCAAACCAATCACTCATGTGTAGTGGTTTAACACACGCCCTTAATCATAGGATCACACACTAGATTCACCCACCTATGACCCCCTGAGGCTTTGGGGGACATCTAGGCCCAAACCATAACAGATCTTCAGCTTTCTGAATTCAAAAACAGTTTTGTCTGGGCTGGGGTGTGGCTCAGTGGTAGAGTGAGTACTCAGTGTACGTGAGGTTTGATCCCCAGCACCCCAACAAAGAAAAAAGAGCCAAGAACATTTATATTTACTTCAGTGTCTTGTTAGTATCTATTCTGATTTCTTTTTTTTTTCCCCCCCTCGGTACTGGGGATTGAACTCAGGACCTTGCGCTTGCCAGGCAGACGCAGTGCCACTGAGCTAAGTCCCCAGCCCCCCATTCTGACTTCTGAAAGCAACTGTGAGTGTACTGAACTGGGGGACTATCTATTACTGAAATATTTAACCAGTGTGCCCAATTCCATCATCACTGTGGCAGTCAGAGAATGACCTCTGCTTTGATCTCTTTAAAGTTCATTTTCAGAATTCTTCCTGAAAGCTAGGATAGCCAATCTCATCCTGAAAAATGAATTCAGTTTTTTTTTTATTCAAGAAAATCATTTTTCTTTGTCCATGGTAATTGTTCCTAAGTCTTATTTAGTTTTCCTTTCATTAATGTTATTGCTTCTTCCTCCATTTTTTAGAAGAGAACCACATTTGAGGGGCTTATATTTTTTAAGTTTTTGTTTTAGATGTATCCTTGATATATGATTCCTCAGAAGCATTTTGCCCTACCTTCTGTCCTTCAGGCTGTGAAGTTGTACCAGATGTGAATGTAGCAGGGAGAAAATTTGGAATCAAGTTACTAATCCCTATTGCTGATGGTATGAACGAAGTGTATTTGAGATGTGACCATGTAAGTAGAGTACAAAAACCTGCAGTCACTTCACCTTTATTAAGCTTAAGAGCAAGAATAAACCTATTCTAAGTTGAAAATACTATTAAGTCAAAAATGTATTAAGTACAGCTAACCTGAAAACATCCCTGCTCAGCCTGCCTTAAACATGCTCAGAACATTTATGTTAACCTAGAGGCAAAATCATCTAACAAAAAGCCTACTTTATAATAAAGCATGAAAAGTCTTGTATAGGGCCAGGGATTTAGCTCAGTGGTACCAAGACTGCCTTGAAAGCGCAAGGTCCTGTGTTCAATTCCCAGTACCAAAAAAAAAATAATCTTGTATAGTTTATTGAACACTGTACTGAAAGTGACAAATAGAATGATTGTATGTGGTATTTTTTTGTACCATAGTAAAGTTAAAAAAATCCTAGGTCAAACCATGGTATTTTCTCAAATTAGAGCATTGTTGTGTCAGCTATTGCTGTGCAACAAATAGTTACCAGGTTATAAAAACCTAATGACAATTCCCTTCTGAAAGATCTGCAGGTTGGCTGGGGGATCTGATACTCCGCACTGGTGTAAGTTGATCAGATCTACTTTGAGCCACAGGCCTGATCTCTTTGCCACAGGTTGAACTGATTTTCTTTCTTGTGGGCCCCAGGCTGCCTGCAGGAAGCTCTTGTCATAGTGATAGAAGCATGAGAGGGCATTGGGCCACAGGTGTGGCCTCCTGAAGCTTAAGCTTGAACTTCACCCACACACCATTGGCCAAAGCAAATCATGAGCGTCGGTGGAAATGAAGGGATAGAAATTATACTCTGTCAACAGGCTGTAAAATTACATGGAAGCATACGGATACCAGGAGACTGAAGATTGATGCCTGGAATTCAATGCGCCACCCACTTGCTACTCTGAGGAATGCTGTTCAACAGCCTACTTCAGCTGCTGAGCACCATCCCTGTTCTCTCTCTGAAGTCAGAAATGAGTACAGATAGCTGGGTGTAATCCTGTAACCCCAGGATTCTGGGATGCTGAGGCAAGAGGATTAGCATTCCAGCCCAGCCTGGGCCACTTAGTGACTTAATGAGACCTTGTCTCAAAATGAAAAAAGGCTGGTGTTGGTTGTGACTCAGTGATCAAAGCTGCTCCCCTGTCCCAATCCCCTAGTATCTAGAAACTCAGCACAGCTCTCCAAAGCCATTGTTGGCCGTCACATCACTGTTAGCAGCCCGTTCCTTGCTGGCAAGTTGACAGCTTTGTGTTTTGGAGCCACAGCCCTGCTGTGTTTGGGACCAGATGGCTTTGAGCTCAGATTTATACTTCTCAGCCCTCTCGCGTTCATTGCAGGAGAACCAGTATGCCCGGTGGATGGCTGCCTGCATCTTGGCATCAAAGGGCAAAACCATGGCAGACAGCTCCTACCAGCCTGAGGTCCTCAACATCCTTTCATTTCTGAGGATGAAAAACCGGAACTCGTCATCTGAGGTGGCTTCCAGTCTTGAAAGCATGGACATGAACCCAGAGTGTTTCGTGTCTCCTCGGTGTGCAAAAAAGCACAAGTCTAAACAGGTACTGCTATCTCTCATGGGGCCATGAAAATAAAAGATGGAAGAATTCCATTTGATTAAAGCCATTATCATGAAACTTTGAGGATGCATTGGGTATTCGATGGTATTATAAAACTACAGTTACTATTGTTAGAGGTGACCGTACTGCTCCCTGAACATGGTGATGATGCCAGATTGAGCTTAATTATGAATAAAATTTCCAGGCGTGGTAGTGAATCCCTGAAATCCTAGAACTCAGGAGGGTGAAGCAGGGGGATCACTGTGAGTTCCAGACCAGGCTGGGCTACATAGTGAGTTCAAGGCCAGCGTGAACTACATAGTGAGACCCTGTCTCAAAAAAACAAAATAAATAAATTAATAAAATTGCCAGGGATTTAGCTCAGTGGTTCTGCCACCTGCCTCATAGGCGCAAGGTTCCAAGTTCGATCCCTGGTACCAAAAAATAAAAACAAAACAAAAAAATAAGGGAAATTAAAGTTTTTTTAAAAATAAAACAATAATTTAGTCCCTACAAATTAAAATTATGCTTCCCTAAAGATGGGTTAAATGTTGGAAGATGATTTTATTGAAGTAGAACAACTATCCATGAAGACTCCATGGACCTGAAAAAGAGATCAGAGCTCTTCCCTCTGCATGAGTGTACTAAGCACGTGTATTGACTGACTTCATTCCTCCCTCTCCCCAGTAATTTTTCACATGTTCTAGAAAAAGAGGAGAAAGAGAGTGACTGAATGAGAGAACGCATTGTCTTTAGAGAACTGCAGTCGGGCTGCAGTTACTGTTCTCACTGGGGATCGTTGGCTAACGGGGTGTGGGTACAAAGCATTGTGAATGTTGAGGAGAGTTTGGTGTCTACTGTTTCTGCTCAGCTGGCAGCCCGGGTCCTGGAAGCCCACCAGAACGTTGCCCAGATGTCCCTTATCGAAGCCAAGCTGCGGTTCATTCAGGCCTGGCAATCCCTACCAGAGTTTGGCCTCACCTACTACCTTGTCAGGTGACTGCAACCTTCTCTTCTCACCTTTCCCACTTCCGCTCGACTCTGGTGGCTTTCTGGAAGCCCAGTTTCTTCTCCATCCACAATGCAGAACTCTTCTTATTTTAGAATACTGCCCTTTCACAAACAGCCCAAACACTTTTTTTCATAAAAATCTTCCAGGCCTGCTGTTCCAATGCCAGCACCTCGCGAACAGCTAAATGTTCACAGGCAAGTGTTCGAATGTCTAAGGGAGGTTTTATTCCTTTAGGATAACTACTCAGCAAAACCTTTAGGATAACTACTTTAAGAACAATCAGCATATGATTTTATGCAACGTCTGACTTTCTTTCTTGTCAGATTGTATGTCCCACCACGTCTCACAGTGTGGCTTTGCAGAGTTCTTATGTTTTGTTTTTGTTTTTTGGTACCGGGGATCGAACTCAGGTCCTTACGCTTGCACAGCATGTGGCGAAACCACTGAGCTAAATCCCCGGCCCTGAGTTCTTATGTTTTGAATCCTAATTATCCCTGTCCTGTCCACCCAGCAACATGAGGTAGCGACCCTCTTTCCGTTGCACTCTGATGATTTCTGCTGAAGATTTTTTTTTTGTAGATGGCCCATTCTTTGCCCTCGTGTATTTTACGGATGAGAGCACTGAGATAGAGAAAAGAGCACCAGTGATTCATCCAAGTTCACCTCCTAGTGAGGGCCAGGCCTCGGTGTCCTTACTGATAACCCCACTGAGCATGACGGCTTTGCCCACCCCGCACAATGAGTGCTTTCCAAAAATGTGTCCTTCGGTGTGCTTGTAAATTGAACTTTTTTCTAATTCAACAGAGAAGACAGATGGTGCTCAAGCAAAGTTTATTCTTCAGCCTGCAGTACAAAAGCGACTCTGCCGCTTTCTCATTTTACTACTTGGGAATAGGAAGAATGGTTGACATTTTAAAGAATCGACTTTTACAAAAGTACAGTTTGCATTGTTGCCTTTCCTCTTTTCCAAAAATCATGTTCTCTAACCTCTGCTGGCAGGAGTATTCATTTAGACTTTTCTATTCACTGAGGCACCTCATTCAACTTCTGTCCCCAGTGTTGTCCAAACACGCAACTCTTTCTGCTTTATTTACCCCAGCAAAAAAGTGAGAAGAGGGGCCAGGGATTTAGCTCGGTGGTTCCGCCGCCTGCCTCACAAGCGCAAGGACCAGAGTTCAATCCCCGATACCAAAAAAAAAACAGAGAGAGGACAGAGTTGTGCGGGACAACCATAAATTCTTATGCATACTTGTACATGTATACACACACACACACACACACACACACACACACAAACACACCTGTAACTTTTTTTGATTTGTTTATTGGAGGTTTTTAAAATAAATTTTATTTTATCCTATTCCCCCCCTCATATTTGTTGGTTTTTTGAGACAGGGTCTCACTATGTATTCCAAGCTGGCTTTGAACTCACTATGTAGCTCAGGCTGGCCTAGAACTCCTGGCGATCCTCCTGCCTCAGCCTCTCGAGTGCTGGGTTTACAGGCATGCACCACCACACCTAGCTTGCCTGTAATTCTGAAGCCAGCCCCAAATGGTAGAAAGAATATGGACACTTGAGCCAACCAGGCCTAGCATCCAGTCCCTCCTCTGCCTAGGCTAGTACTGTGGCCCTGAACATTTCTACTGAACTCACCAAGCCTGGGCTTCTGTACTTGCTCAGTGGGTTCCTGGCCCTGCTCAGAAGCCAGAGAAACAGAAACAGAGCAAGTCCAGCGCCTGATAAGTGGTAAAGTGTGGAGAACCTGAGCAGGCTCCTAATGAGTTACCCCTTTACACCCTACCCCCTCATCCCCATATCTGGAGTATTTATTTCATATATTCATGATCCTTACCCCTGCCATTCAGTCAGGAACATTCTTTCTGTGCAGCCCACAGCTGTGCCCCAGTGGCTAAAAGGTACTGCCTCACAGAACTGTGCTAATTTTGAACGGATTGATTTGATGCCCGATTTCACTTTCCTCTGAGGTCAGTTTCACTCAGTAATTGCCTGCATTCTTCATAGTCTCTTTATCTCAGTAACAAGTCTTCCTACTGTAAGTTGGTCCCTCATATCCTTTCTTCTGAAATAACCTAGAAATGTTGTTGACTACTCTTTAAGAACTTGTTTTGTTTTGTTTTGTTTTGGTATGGGGCATCGAATTCGGGTCCTTGCACTTGTGCAGCAGGTGGTGAAACCACTGAGCTAAATCCCCGGCCATAAAGTTTTTACCTAGTTCTTTTTCATATCTGCTAGATCACCTTTTTACCATTTCCTGTTTGTTTGTTTGTTTGTTTGTTTTTTGGTACTGGGGAATCGAACTTGGGACCTTGTGCTTGCGAGGCAGGCACCAGAACCACTGAGCTAAATCCCCAGCCCTTTTAAGAACTTGTATATGAATGAACAGTTGCTTCTCTGAATCAGTATTATTTTTTCAGGTTTAAAGGAGCCAAGAAAGATGACATTCTGGGAGTTTCATATAATAGGTTGATCAGAATTGATGCAGCCACTGGGATTCCAATTACAACATGGAGATTCACTAATATGAAGCAGTGGAATGTCAACTGGGAAATCCGGCAGGTGAGGGGAAGTTTCTGGTACTCAGTTTCTTTTGTTTGTGTTTTTGCAGTGCTGGAGATGGAACCCAGGACCTTGCACACCCTAGGCAGGTGCTCTGCCACTGAGCAGCACTACCACCTGTTAATGTGTTCCCCCAGAATTGCAGATTATTTTGACTTTAAGAAGGTATCTTTATATTTACAACTAACAACGCCCAGGAATGTTGTAATTGTGTGCTAAAATAATCATGTGCAAATCCAGGCAGTTTCCTAACAAGCACAGGCCAAGTGTTCCGGTTTTGCTTTTGGTGGTGGTGGTTTTTGTTGTTGTTGCTGTTGTGGGGGGGTTTTGTTGTTTTGTTTTGTTTTGCTCTTGAGACAGGGTCTCACTATCTAGTTCCGGCTGCCTTGAACTCACTGTGTCGTCTAGGCTGGTGTCAAACTTGAAGCAGTCCTCCTGCCTCAGCCCCTCAAGTGCTGGGATTACAGACCTGTGGCACCATGCCCCACAGGTCAGATGCTCTTATTAACACTGCAAGTTGGCTGCAGACTTTCCACACACAGAGACTGTGAAATCGCTGAGCAGTGTGTTCAGTTTCATTGACTCAGCCTAAGATTCAGGTTGATCATTACTTGATAAGTAGAACCGACCTGGGATAGAATTGCTTTACAAAATAAGTCCAAATAGGCCCTGCCATACCAGCTGCCAAGAGATCTAGCTGATCAAGAGCCCAAAGGCTCAGTTGCCGACCTGGACAGCATTCCAGTGCCAAGAGGGAAGCTAGTGGAGGGGGAAGGTGAATAGAGCTGACTGAGAAAAGAGACCTACCCCTTTGTGTGTGTATATATATACATTTTTTTTTTAAACAAGGTCTCACTAAGTTGCCCAAGGTCTCAAACTTGAAGTCCTCCTGCCACAGCCTCCCAGAGTGCTGGGATTACACCATGTGCCACCATGCCTGCCTTACAATTTTTTTTTTAAGAACTCTGGATTCCTCTCAGCAGCACTAATAACCATCTGGGCACACAAGTGTAGAATAAAGGTCAGAGATCTATGTCCCCTAACGCAACAACTCTAAAACCTTGATGCATCTAAGATCTCCTAGGCCATGCCCAAGCTCAGTCAAATCCAAATCTCTGGGAGTGGGGCTGGGCACTGTTGTTTTGAAAGTTCCGTGGTGATTCCAATGGGAATGAGAGCCAGTGATAGGTAGTGCTTAGAGTTTATGATTTTCACCTCGGAAGGGGCAGTGGCTAAATGAAAATTCAGGTGGACCTTTTATTCTCCGTTAAAGAGTGCAAAGCTCCCTGCCCCTCCACAAGGGAGGGCTTGGGAATTTCTTGTATCTAAACAGCCAGACAGACAGAGACAAAATATCAGGTATTATTGAAAAATACAGAGATTATTTGTTTCATTATTACAGTAAAAGATAAATTGCCTTTAATGCCCCTCAAAATACTCCTCAGTTTGAATAAACTTATTCCATTGTTGTTGCCACTTTCTGAAGCAGTTCTGGAAGTCCTCTTTCGTGAGTGTCTTTAGTTGTGCTATCCTGGCTGCCTGGATATCCTGACTCGATTCAAAACATTTCCCTTTCAAAAGTCATTTTGACTTTGGGCAAGAGCTAGATGTTGCACGGTGCCAGATCCAGTAACTGAAGTGAATGAGGACCCACTATAATGTTTTTATTTGACAGGAAAGGCCATAATTGTTTGATCAAAAATTAGAATGAATATTTAAATTTTTTAAATTCACTACAGTAAAAGACATATTGCCATTAACCACCCCAACATATTCAAAATACTTCCCCCTAACTTCGAACACACCTATCTTATCATCTGGGCAATGTGTCTTACTGTAATAAATTTTTTTTTATTTAATAATTCACCCTTTTTCAATCACCTTTTTCAATCACCCTTGTACGTGCGTTCTGGGAATATTTTACCAGATGCGCATCAAAGTTGAGGCCACAAGAGGGCGCAAAGAGCGAAGACCTGGCTTCCGTCAGTGTGGAATGGAAGGGGTGGTTTTCTGTGTGGTCGGGTGTATAGGCATCTCTTAGCCACCTCAGCCACTTCAGCCCCAGGGCCCAGTGCCAGCAAGGCAGCAGCTTTCTCGCCGTTCCTTGTCTGAGTTTAAGCCTCCCCCGCCTTCCTCTTCCAGGTGGCGATCGAGTTTGACCAAAACGTCTCCATTGCGTTCACCTGCCTGAGCGCGGATTGCAAGGTCGTGCACGAGTACATCGGTGGCTACATTTTCCTGTCCACCCGCTCTAAGGACCAGAATGAAACGCTCGACGAGGACCTCTTTCACAAACTGACTGGTGGTCAGGACTGAGAGGAGGCGCACCCTCCCTGGGCAAACGGGATTCGTGGAGCGTGTAGACCTGCCCAGTGTGTGGTTGGACTAATGGACAACAGATCCACTACAGGACTCCCGAATCCTCACCTCATTTCAGCACACTCCAGCACACCTCTGTGCTGACCTCGCCCTGTGCTAGCACCTCGCAGGGGTCTCAGTTGTCTGCTTTGTACAATGGGTGGGTGAGAAGAGGTGGTGCTGTCAGGCTGCTCCAAGGCCTAGTGTGGAGCTACAGTGATGGCGCATTCGCTGGGGGCTGACCTTGTGTTCACCCGCCTCACTGCCAAGTCAGTGCCAAAGAGGAGGGAAAAGTCACGTGTCAGAAGTACAAATCTAGTCCACAAACTCAGGTATGAAGAGAAATAGGTCTTTCCTTACTGAAGTAGGTGTTAGCCCCGTCCTGTCTATACACACTTTCTCCTTGGAGATAGAGGAGTTGGGGTGGGTGGGTATTGGTACCAGTTGGCACCAGAGGTCAGAGTGACGATCTTCAGCATCATCCTTTATTACAGTGACACCTGCCAAGGTGACCACTGACCCACATGGTCTTGGGTGCCCCTCTCCTGTTTCTGCTGTCACCCAGAGCCCCCGTTCCACTCCTAGGGATCCCACTGATACTTTCAAGTCCTTCTTGAAGGCATGAGTGACAACAGGGGCAAGGAAAGTCATTGTTCAACCCAGATCCACATCTCAACTGCTGTTGCTCTGGATGGAGGCCCCGGGAGTCAGGCACAGTTCTTTGTTCATAAAAACCACCTCCCAGCAGTTCCCAAGGAGTCCAGTCAGGGCTCCATCCAGCTGGTGGAGGAGCAAGGCTATCCTCAGAGACAACCATGTTCATGGTCTTCGAGGTAGGGAAAGACTCCTGGGCCCCCATGTCCTCCTGGACTTGCTGTGATGCCCAGCCTTTTCCCTCAAGGCCTTTGGCTTTTATAAAACACAAGCCAGTACCAGACCCTTTCCTTCTCTGCTTCCTGCTGTGTCATCCCACCTTAAGTCTTCAGCATGAGCCAGTTAGCAACCTCCTGAATCGTCACATTCCATTTTGGTTTGTTAGTGGTGGGAGGAGTGAGTGAGTTTGGAGAAGGTGAGAAGCAGGACTAGAAATATCAGATATTTTATTTCTTTATAAAATATTCTGCTGCCACCCAAAGAACCTGAGTTGGAAGGATAAGCCAAGGGCTCCAATTCCATTTCCAGTTCTCTTCTGTTGCACCCCTCAGGGGCCGGGCCAGGGCCCTGATGCCCACCAGGCCCAGCTGTTGCCTTATTTCCCATAAAGCTACCTGAAAAGCAGGATCTCAGCGAGTCCAGGAGCTGCACGGACTTAGCCTTCGGGGGACCCGTGACCTCGGGCCAGAAGCTGCCCTCTGGGAATTCTCTGCTTAGACAGGACTATTCCTGAAGTTCACAGGCACCAGCTAAATTACTGAGACCTGGCTCAAAGCTCAGACATGGTTTTAGGTGTGGAAAATTTGTTTCCCATCATATAAAATCCTGTGCTAGGCATACTGTGCTGGACTTGGTGTTGGTCATTTCTCTGTAGCCCAGGGCTGTATTAGTTTGAACCTAGACAGGTCTTGAAGATCATAATGGACTCCATAAAACAGCCAAGGAGAGCAACAGCTGATGTCCCACACCAGGCCAAGTCCACTCCCCTCCCTTAGCTTTTCATGGTGGGCTGATCTTGCCAGGGAAACACTCCCCGGAATTGACTGGTTTTCACTAAGCTTTCTGTTGGTTACCACTTTCAAGAGAGCGTTTCTTCTGTAATTACACAGAAACATTGCAAAGGAATAAATAAGTGGGGCAAAATGACCTTAATCATGCTGTTCCAAAGAACAAATCCAAATTTTCCTCCTACACTGGGTACAAAAGGTCATCTGACTTCCTATGGTGAAATTTTAAATTAATGTGTGCCTTTCAACACTGTTTGCTGTCTTATCTACCCCAGATGCTGCGATCTGCATTTTTTTATTTTACATGACTTTTTGAATTAAAAGGTTTATATGGATGTGAATATAGTCCAGTTTTGTCCTGTCCAACTTGCCATCTCTTTAAAGGCAAATGAATTCTGCTAGGAAAGAGGCTTTTTGGGTCTGATGCGCGCACCTCTTCCTGCCATCCCAGGTTCCAACGCAGGCTGGGGTTCCTCCGAGGTCACTGAGATAGAGCCTCATGCAGCCTCCAAGGCTGGTGGCCGAATATTGAGGGCACTTCCTCACTTTGGAGCTAGGCAGGTAATGTAGGTAATGACACACGGTTCATAGATGCTGTACTCCTTCCTGCCATTCGCACAGCAGCCGTAGAGGGTAAGAACACTTGCTGCCTCTTTCTATAGAGAAAACAGGCCCAGAAGGTGGTTAACTTGCTCAGAGCCTCATGGCCCATGAACCAGGCTCCAAAGCCAGGTTCATCTTAAACCAGCAAACCCCACCCTTCCTTCTCCAGTGGTGCTGGTGCCCCACTCCTAGCCCGGATGTGGCTTCCCCACCTCAGTTTCCCCACAGCAGGGTCAGCCTGGTAGAGCAGCCAGAAGACAGCAGCTGCTCCAGAGGAGCAGGAGAGTTAGCTAGGAGAGGAGAGGGGACTGGCAGGTCTGGGAGTCACAGAAATGAGGAGCTCGAGTATTTTTTAATTTTTTATCAGTACATGTTTGTAGTACATAATGTTTACATTCTTGTGGGGAAGTATTTTATTTACGGAAAGTCTTGAGGTCAGAAAATGAGATAACTGGGCTGGGGATTTAGCTCAGTGGTTCAGGCGCCTGCCTTGCAAGCCCAAGGTCCAGAGTTTGATCCCTGGTACCAAAAAAAAATAAGAAAATGAGCTGAGAAATTTGAACACTCATCTTTCGGTCATAGGCACCAGACGCAAGGTATTTTGCAATATTCACTTTCTGAAATCACTTAAAAGGTATTTTTAATATACTTACAGGATTCTTTTTCTCTTCTAGGTTCAGAACCTCTGTTCATTCGCATTATTTTCCCATACAAACCTGACTTTCTGGCCTCCTCCCTTCCCCACCCCAGTCTCCCAGAGGCAGAGGGGCAGGAGGAGGAATTTGCCCTTCAGCTTCCAGCTCCATGGACCCCTCGGTCCTGGCACTCAGCTGGGAGATGTGCACTTGGCTGTCACTTGTGTTAAGGGTTCCCCGTGTCTTTGGACATCACCAAGGTGGAACGACTGAGTGCTGTCGGAGGAAGGAGAGAGAAAGCCACTGGGCCTCTTCTCTGACCCCACAAACACCAGTGCTGCCCTGCTGTCCTTGGGACAGTAACTTCTTTGATGAGGAAAGTTTCTGGCTACTGGAAGGTAGGGCCCTAAGAAACTAAGCCATCCCTGTGCCCAGAGTTACGTGGAAACCAGGCTGAATGCCACCCAATCTGATGGTTTAGAAAAAGCTTCAGGAGCCTCCCAGCATTTGCCCACATTGCATGTGCAACCAAGAATAGGTGCTATGGCTTGGATTGGTTTTGTCTCCACCAGACGTCATGCGGAAATTTAACAGCCAATGTAAAGGGGCTGTGGTGGGTGAGGCCATAGAGGTGGTTGAGCCACCTCTTCACCTTCACCAAGGGTTTAATGTAGCTGACAAGAGCAGGTTCGTTATCCAAGAGTGGTTTGTCATAAAGCACATGGACCCTTGGTCCTATCCTCTCTGCCCACTTGTCCTTCTGCTTTTCCACCACGCACAGAGTAGCAAAGGCCTCGTAAACGCCACCACCATGCTCTTGGGCCTTGAAAACCTGAACCACAATGACCCTCCTTCGAGAGTCCCCATCTTGGGTCACCCGTTATAACCACAGAAGAGAGACTGAGACTCTGGGATGGAAGAGACTCCATAGAAAACACACAAACCAAACCAAATGAGGTTTCCCTATAGATTCTCAGGCTCCTAACAACTGGAAAATGTCCTCTCAGCAAAGCAGATTTGCCTCCTTCCTCTGCCTCCCTGTGTGACCTTGACAAGACCCCAAGTCCCCCAGTGCCTCTCCCCCTTCACTTGGTCCTGGAAGAGAGCCCTGTAGCTGCTCCTCAGCCTCCTGAAACAGAACTCTGTTTATCTCCTCCGCCCTGGAAGAGAGAAGTGAGAGCTTTGGCTGCTCCTGAGGTCCCTGGCTGCAAAATTGGGAAGGAGGCAGAGTCCTTAGTGCTGCCTTAGGAGCAGCAGACCTCAGGGCCCGGAAGGGTCCAAAACCCTAAGCTGTGTCCCCTAATGCAAGAGATACCACCATTAAAGGCCTTGATGACAGGGTAGGCAAATGAAGTGGCCCACTGGGGCCCAGTACCTGGCTGGCAAAGGAAACCTCACATGTGCCACTTTGGCGGTGAGGAGACAGCAAGGACAGCCATCCAGGCAGCACTGGGATGTGATGGTGGGGCATTCAGGGGCCAGGGAGCACTGGAGGTGGAGGTCTGACCAGATGCTTGCCAAAGGGCCCTGGATCTCTATGCTGCTGCTTAACTTCCTGAATGTTCGAGAAGAACCGAGATTGGCAGCCAGGCCAGCCCATGGGATCCAGTATTATCTTAAAAAGAAGAAAAACAAAATTCAGTACCAGTGTTTCTTTTCCAGGAGTTACACACATCCAACTTGAACTTCAAAACAGAAGCATCTTCACTGCTAATGAGAGTCAGGTGCCTGTCACTAAACCCACATGGACTACAGCTCGCTACTCCAAGTGTGGTCCTGGGCCATAGCATTTGTCACAGGTGCAGAATCAGACCAGGAGGGTCCAGGCAAGGTGCCCAGGGCACCTTGAAGAGGCCTTCACTGTCGAGGTTGTGCTGGTGCCAACACAACTTCGCCTTCTGGGCAGGCCCCTGGTTGTGTAACTTGAAGTGCAAAGTAGATTGACAGTCGGGACCAGTCAGATATGTCCCAGGGCGAGAGAGATGCCACAGGCTAAATGGCTGTGCCAGCCATTGTGCTGATGAGTGCCATCAGCTCTCACCTCTCCAAAGAGCAGTCTCGGTTATACAGCTAACACTGTAGGACCACAGGAGTCAGACAGCTCACACAGCAAGGGAGATCACAGGTGCGGCCCCTGAGTGCTCTCACCTGGTCCTCTGGTCAGCCACGGACTGTCAGCCCCATGACACAAATCAGGAAGTGTGCAGGGCTGTGCTGGCGATGGTTGGCACCTCTGTGGTCCAGGGCAGTGCTGTTTGCCTGTTCCTATGGTGCGAAGACCCTCCCACAGCCAACGTGACATCAGTGCACACAGGCCTAGGGTAGAGGTGAATATGCAGCTCCAGCAGAGACAAACCCATTGCAGCATGCAGTGGAACCGTGTACACAGAGGTCAAGAGACTTGTGGTGGTCACCAGCTAGAGTATGGAAAGCAAGGATTGGAGCCCAGACCTTTGTGACCTGCACTAGTACTCCCTGGATTTCCCATGGGAAGGCAAGGCCTCCTAGGCTAAGAGCCCTAGGTTGTCCCTGATTGTGATATTGTCCCGGAGCTGATTTTTCTAGGACCCTCTCTGGGGAAGGCCTTCTGAACTCCATAGATGTTTTTCCCCCTTCCAGTTGCTTTAAGCTAGATTTCAGATGCTAGAATGAGACATTTTCTACTGAAGAACTCGAATCTTAACTCTTGACCCACTTGTCCAGTAGGACATCTGTTTGCTGGTCTGGGTCAGAGGTAGGGTCAGGGAGGCCAGGAAAGTTCTGCCTTTTTCCCAACAGAGAGGACACCGAACCCTGGCCCAAGACGCCCCGTGGCCCTCCCATCCCCACAGTGGGTTGGCCCAACTCTTGCTATTGCGTACAAATGGCTAAGGCCAATTCCCACCAGAGGCTGTCTTCCGAGGCTGAGTGAAATGTCAGAATCCTGACCTTTTCCTCTCTTCTTAAATGATTCTTTGAACTTTGCAAGTATTGAGTAATCCATTCCTAGTAAGTAACCCAAGCAAATTTCCCTCTAGGATAAGGAGACACAAACAGCAATGTGTTTGGAGTAGGAAATGTACTTGGGCTAGTTTGGTCAGGTCTGAGATCGCAAGGATTTGTGGGCCATGCCTGACCTAGTGGTCACATATTTAAGAAATACTACCTGGCTTAATATAGCTCAGAACTTAAAACTTCGGGGCCACAGTTTTCAACCTGTGTTCAACAAATCAATATACTGTGTACATACTATAATGTGTTTAACTACAATTCATATATATATGTGTGCCAGGAGGCTACATACTTTCAGCTTTTTGATCCTCCATGTCCAGCTTCTACACACAGTGTCGTTTTAATCAAGTTTTTGGGGTTTTTTTTGGTACCAGGGATTGAACTTGAGTCCTTGCGCTTGCACAGCAGGAGGCGAAACCACTAAGCCAAATCCCCGGCCCCTGACAATGTCATTTTAATGTCATCCCATGATTCAACGGGCTGCTGTGGCTCTGGGTGTTATGTCACAAGGCTTTAATTAACCACAAGGGAGATCGAAATACTTGGTTTTTATTCAAAGTAGCCATGGGCCTGACCAGAAATCAAGATTGTTTTAATGACAGAGAAAATGAGAATAGATACTGAGAGACAAGGCACTACAAAAGCTGCTGAGGTTACTACAGCATTTTGAACATAGCTTTGAAACAAGCAAGAACATCTGAGCAAATAATTCTATGATGCTGCATAATAAGCATTATTCACAATGTATTTTTAAAAGGGATAAAGAGAGAACAAAAGGAGGGAATAATTTGTTTTGTTATAATTGGAGGCAGATTAGGGGACACTTAGCCTTGGCCTTGAGGGTGACAAAGGGCTTGCCAAGTGGAGAGCAGGGCAGGTGTTGGTCAACCTGGCAGAGCATTGGTCAGCAGAGGGAGGGGACGTGTAAGAGTTCTTAGCCATTCGGTGCCAGGATCAGACGGGCACATTGGGAACAGGCATGTGGCCATGAAGGAGAACGAAAGGCCGGGCCCAAGTTAGGGCTCACGATAGCCCAAGGGCTGTCACACACTGTGGGCTGGCGCTAGGCCAGCAGAAACAGCAGGAGGCAGACTTGAGAGCTGTCTCAGAAC